CCCTCCAGCCCCGCTCCTCCGCCGGCCCGCGCGGGTCCCGGCGGGCTCCAGCCCACCATGCAGCTGCAGTTCCGGAGCTGGATGCTGGCCGCGCTCACGCTGCTGGTGGTCTTCCTTATCTTCGCAGACATCTCCGAGATCCAAGAAGAAATCGGGTAAATAGCTGCGCCCGGGCTCGGGCCACGAACCCTCCTGGAGCCCCCTTTGCACCCGTGCTCTGCCTACCCCACCCCCTTTGTGTGCGCCGCGCCCTCGGTCCCTCCGTGGAGAGGCGAGCACGGCTTGGGCTAGAGGTGGCAATGCCAGGGACCCGGGACGGCTCGCGGGAGGTGGGGGGCGCGGCTGCCGTGGTGTCCTGGGCGGGGTGCTCGGCAGCCCCCAGCGGCCCCAAGCCGAGAAACCGACTCGCCCACCCGATCCCCTTCTCCCGGGGTCCGAGCTCAGGGTAGCCGGGGTCGAGGGAGGGCGCCCGGGAGTGTCTCGGGCGGGCGGAGGGGCTGCGCGTGGAGGGAAGCAGGAGTTTCTTTGTCTCCTGCTCGGCCGCTTTCTCGCCTTGGCAAAGTGGGCAGGGGGCGCGCGGGGATCTCTGAGTAGGGGGAGGGGATCCCCGAGCCGGAGCAGAAGACTGGGGCTATGCACCGGCTCCCGAGAAGGGGAATGTTCCCCGTACATCGGTATACGACACACTCCTCCCGCCTCCCGCGATCGGCTGTGGGGACCGGCTCCTCCGGAGGAAGGGCGCGCCGGGCTGGAGGGCCCCCCCCCCCAGCCCGCCCCGGGTCTGGACGCTCTGCCAGCCCCACGATGTCCCGGGCAACCCTGGGGTTGCCGCGCGCTTGTTGCGCAGAGACAGAAAGGCTTTGGGGAAAGTCTGGACCCTCGCCCATTTGGCTCCTGGCCCTCGGGAACGCGATAGCCTCCCACCCCCAGGTTCTCCCGATCTCTCCAGAGGAGGGTAGGAACCACAACCACCGGTTCCTCCTGCCCAGGACTTCCCCAGGGCGCGCACTTTCCGCGCGGGACGCACCCATCCGCCCAGAGTCCTGGAGGCTGATTTGTGCCCCACCCCACAGCCTCGAATGCCTGGCCCAGCCCCTCTCTGGAACCTCTGGAGGGCGGTGGACAGGTGTGGGGAGACCGGGAGGGTTCTGGGGCGGCCTGACAAGCCGAAGGTAGCTTCTCAGAAGCTGCCTAGAGGTCCCTTCCCCTGTGGGATAAGCGCGGAGCCCAACGCTTTCCGTGTCCCGCGCCTAGCACGCCCCTCCTTTGTCCCCATGCCATGCCAGTCCATTCATTACTAACGCGCTTTGAGGCCACCATTCGGTTAAGCCCCTGAAAAAGGAAAAACCATCCTGAGGCCCAGATGCCAAGGACATGGGTGCCGTGACCTGGGGGTAGGCGCCACTTCCTTCTCTCGCCTTTTCTCCTGCCCCTGCCCATCTCCGAAACCCCACAGTTCCTTCTGTGAGCTCCATTGTGCTTGGACGATCCCTCTCTGCCGCTTTCTCCTCCAAGTCCTCAATTTCCCCAAAAGCTCGGGAAACTTTCAGGAATGTGGTAGACTTCATAAGCGAAGTGCCACGGCTTCCAAGCAGATTCGGAGAAATAGCTACTTTTCCTTGCTTCTGGCCCAGAACTCCTGGGTCAGCGAGCAGAGGGGAAGGCATGGACAGGGTCATGGAGACAGTGCAGAGGTCTTCCCCAGAGGTGTGCAGGGACAGGTGCACATCCCCTGCTGACCTTTGAGGATGCTGGGGGAGGGACCACCAGCTGCCTCTTGTTCTGCTACAAAAATGCAAGCGCTGCTTTCATAAGATATCCTAAACTTGTTCATTTCTGGAACTCCTAAAGGCTAGGAACTTTGAATTCTTGAAGTGTAGTCTGGAGATCACTTGGCATGTGCTGCACTCTCCTAGCAGGGTGCAGAGGACAGAACTGCAGGCCTGACCTAGGACAGGCGTTTCCAGTCAGAGGACTCCTGGAACACCCAGCCCTCCGCTGTAGGAGCGCGTCCCCTGGGAACTGTTCTGCTTGGGCCCCAGTGATGCGGAAGAGGTTCCTACTTCTTTTTACACTGCCCTTGCCTGGGCTGATCCTAGGCCAAGTAGGTGAGATCTGGCCTTCAGGCTGACCCTGAGCTTGGCCTGTCACCACACAGGCCTGAGACACCACCTTCTTTCAGAAAGGCTGATGAGACAGTCTTGCGCCACTACCCTACATGCCATGGGATGGATCAGGAGCAATGCTCCAGTCCCACCCAAAGTGAGCCCCACTTCTCTTTGACCCAATAGAAGGAAATTTACCTAGGATTCGCCATGGCTGGGGGAGGAAAGATGGAGGGCAGAGGTTGGGAACCCAGGAAGTGTCTGACCTTTCGAGTTCGGTTTTAACACATAGTCGCTTACATATTCCTTGCAACCTCTCCAACTTTGAGTAGCCAGGCCTGGCACCAATAAGTTCCTTAGCAGGGAAGCCAGCAAGCAGTGTCGAGAGAGTTCTGTTGTCCTGCCTGTCTGTCTTCCTGGGAAACTTTGAACCCTGGAGCCCTCACACCTGCCCTGGCCAGCCTTCTCCAGGATCCCAGATTGCCGGCCGGAGTCAGCCCTGGGAGAGTGCAGTGCCTCTGTACAAGGATGGCCATTTCCAGAGGACAGGGGACTCAGGGACCCTGTGACCTGTTAGGAAGGCAGACAGAGCCGCCACTTGGGGGGAAATGTTGGAGGACTGAGGAGTAGGAAGCACCGTGTGCAGGAATAAAACCGAGGTCCGCTTTTCTGAAGCTCTTGATTCCCTTTCTTAGCAAATGAAGCTTTTGATGTGGTGGCCTCCAGGTTCCTGTCCTGCCCAAGGAATCATACACTGCATGCTGAGCACCCTGCTTTCTTTGATGGCTTTGCTTGAGATGTATCTCTTTTCCTAAGCAATTCTTTTCCATGTTCCATTTCTGACTCTTGTTCCGGTACAGCTTGGGCTGAATGAGGAAAGAAAAGAGAGAAAGATAAACTCTCCATGGGACACACAGACAGTCCTATCTGGCAGCCACAGAACACATTGAAATCTAAGTCAGAAATTGGAAGGGGCTTTCTTTGAACCCCGTGCTTAACTCATGTGGCCTCCCAAGTTTTAAAACCCGATGGCCCCAGCTGTGCACTGAACTCTTCCGGTTGTCCCCTGAGCTTTAGTCTGCAGTGTAACCTCCATAAGACAGGTGTCCAGCATGGTTACTGCAGCCCCAGAGTGGACGCACAGAATGGCTTCGGTAAGTGTCTGTTGGGCTGGCCAGGATGACCCAGGCCAGAATTCCAGCTCCTCAGGAGGCTGAGACAGGAAGACCAAGAGTTTAAGACCACCCTGGGCAACTTAGTGAGAGACCTGTCTCAAAATTAAGGGATTTGTAAAAGGCTGAGGATATGGCTCAGGGCTCTCTGGGTTCAATCCTCAGGACTGGAGAAAACAAAAGTTTATCAGTGTTAGGTGACTACCCCTCGCAAGTCTGATGCTGGCCATGTAGTTCATCTTCAGGCAAGGCGGAGACTCAAACCCTTAGGACAGGAAGCGTTCGGGCTGCAGGAATCTGCCTGCCTGTTATCAGTTTGGGTTGATTTACTCTGAGATGTGACATCACTTATCCAGGAGCATGGCCCGAGTGGTTACAGCGGGACAAGTTGTACAGGTCTTCACTTTTGTAACCTAATGCCTTCGTGCCCAAATAAAAAAGCTGCAGAGCTCTGGTTAAAGAAGAAATAAGCAGCAAGTGACAATAATAGTGTCCATGGCAATGATGCAGATGAGAGCAGGGTTGGCATGAACTGAATGCCTCTGGGAACCAGGTGCTAGCTCAGGTTCTTCAGAGATATCAACCTGCTCCTCCATCTACCAAGAGCTACTATGCATTGAGCCCCGTGTGCCGGGCACTGCAATGATTACTTGTAGCGCTTCTGCACTGACTCCTCACCAAAGCCCTGGGTTTTCTTGCTAGCCCCAGTTCATTGCTAAGGAAATTGAGATTCAAAGAGGTTGTGTAATTTACAAGTGCTTGACCCCAGCCCACAGAGGCCGAAGCCCATCCTCCTGGCAATGAAAAAGGAGTTCAGCAGCCCAGGAAGGAAATGATCTGGAGAACCTAGCAGGCTGGCAGGATGGGCAAGAGCTGATGCCTCCCAGTTACTTAGAATGAGAAAAGGTGAATGGAGTGGACTAAAGGGAGACTCAGGACTCACTCCCCACAGTGTGCCTCTGGTTCTTCCACGTCAATGCCATGCTAACCCTGGCCTGCTGTGAGTAGGAGCTTCCCAAGCTCACAGGCAGAGCCTTGGCCTACGTCTTCTGCAGGAGGGGAATCTCCCATCCCATTGCAAGGCTGATTCTCAAGTCAAGAGCGTGGACCTTCCTTGCTCCCATACACTTGCAGTTGGGCACTCAGGCTCCCAGTCACATAGCTGCTTAACAACCAGGTCTGTTGGAGTGGACGTCAGAGCAGTCACAATCAGTAGCCAGGAACTTGCCAAGCATCAAGCCTTGTCTGGGAAAGTACGAAGTGGAGAAAGGAGCTACTCTGACATCAGCCACCTCAGGTCCAGTGAGCAGGCAGCAACTACTGCCACTGGGTGAGGAGGAGGTGAGGTGAATAGGAAGGAAGGTGGCCTTGACCGTTGGCAGTGTCGGTGCCTTGTAGGGAGAATACGTGCTTGCTCAAAGTGATGCAAGATTTTTATTAGGAAAGTGCTCATTTTTCTCCCTCGTCTTGGTATACATCACTCAAGTATAAACATGACTGGAGGATAAAATAAAGAAGGTCTGGTTTTAACTCAGTTGCTCCAAGTCCTTGCCAACTATGCCTAGCATTGAATTTAATTTTTTTTATTTAAATTGTAAATAGATTTTCATCCTAGAAACCAATTCAGCACTCAGGGCCTCTTTCCCCTTGGAAAGCAGGGTTGCTAGGATTGAAAGTTGTTTAGGTTTTACAAATTGGAAGTGTTGTAAATTGCAAATTATAAATATTTTTCAGAGAAAGCGCAATTCTCGAAAGGCTTTCCTTGCATTTCGCAAGAGATACAAAGACATGCCTAACCTTGCCCTCACCTTCCTCCCCTGCGACCGTGGGCTCGGGCCATTCTGTGTTGCTCACAGTTCTGTCAGTTGGACCCTGATT